GCGGTACGCGGGCCTCTCCCGTTGTGGAGCACAGGCTCCAGACGTGCAGGCTCAGCGGCCATGGCTCACGGGCCCTGCCGCTCCGTGGCATGTGGGATCTTCCCAGACCGGGGCACAAACGTGTGTCCCCTGCATCGGCAGGCGGACACTCAACCACTGCGCCACCAGGGAATCCCGAGTTCATTCTTTTGAGTGGTTTAAGATAGGGGTCCAGATTTACTTTTTGCTTGTGTTTATCCAGGTTTTCCAGCACCATTTATTGAAGACACTATTATTTCCCCATGGTTGTTCTTGGCTACCTTGTCAAAAGTTAGTTAACCTTCTATGTGGGGGGTTAATTCTGGGCTCTTTATCCTGTCCCTCTGGTCTGGGTGTCTATTTTGATGCTAGCACCATACTGTTTTAAATAGTATAGATTGTAGTAGAGTTTGAAATTAGGAAGTGTGATGATTCTGGTTTTCTTCTTCTTTCTCAGAATGGTTTTCGCTATTCAGTTCTTTTCTGGTTTGATAGAAAGGTTAAAATTGATTTTTCTATTTCTGTAGAGAATGTCATTGGATTTTTGAGAGAGGTTTCTTTGAATCTACAGATGGTGTTGAATTAAGGACTTCCAAATCTTAGAAATTCCTCCAACCTATGAGCATAGGATATCTTCCCATTTGTTAGTGTCTTCAGTTTATTTTATCAATGCCTTGTCGTGTTCAATGTAGAGACATTTCACCAACTTTGTTAAATTTATTCCTAAGTAATTTATTTTTTTTGATGGTATTGTAAATTAGAAAGTCTTTATTTTTTCAGAGAGATGTTTCACTGTTTGTGTATAGAAATACAACTGATTATGTATGTTAATTTTACATACTTTGTTGATTAGTTACAACTTTTTGGTTGCTTCATTAGGATTTTTTATATAGAAAATTATGTCTTCAAATAATGACAATTTTAGTTCTTACTTTCTTAATTGGATGCCTTTCTTTGTCTCGCCTAATTGCTTCAGCTAATACCAATACTTGCAGTACTATATGTACTGTCCATAGTAGTCTCTTATGATCCTATGTATTTCTGTAGTATCAGTGGTAATGTCTCCTCTTTCATTTCTAATTTTGTCTTCTCTCTTTTTTCCTAGTCTAGCTAAAAGTCTGTGAATTATATATTTTTGAAAATCCAGCTTTTCGCTTGTTGATCCTTTCTGTTGACTTTCTTGTATCTATTTTATTTATTTCCACTCTAGTCTTTTTTTTTTTTTTAAGATGTTGGGGGTAGGAGTTTATTAATTTTATTTTTGCTGTGTTGGGTCTTCGTTTCTGTGCGAGAGCTTTCTCTAGTTGCGACAAGTGGGGGCCACTCTTCATCGTGGTGTGCGGGCCTCTCACTATCACGGCCTCTCTTGTTGCGAAGCACATGCTCCAGATGTGCAGGCTCAGTAGTTGTGGCTCACGGGCCTAGTTGCTCCACGGCATGTGGGATCCTCCCAGACCAGGGCTCAAACCCGTGTCCCCTGCATTAGCAGGCAGATTCTCAACCACTGCGCCACCAGGGAAGCCCCTCCACTTCAGTCTTTATTATATTCTTCCCTCTGCTAACTTTAGGAAAAATTTCTTATTTTTCTAGTTCCTTGATATGTAGAGTTAGATTACTTAGGCACTTTCTGATTTCTTGCCATTTGCACTTATCACTATACACTTTCCTTTCTGGAATGCTTTTGCAGCATCTCATAGGATTTGGTAAGTTGTGTCTCCATTATCATTTGCTTTAAAGTTTTTAAAAATTTTTCCTTTTGATTTCTTTTTTGACTCATAGACTTTTTTGGAAGTGCACTGTGTAGCTTTCCCTTCTTTGTAGATTTTCCAGATATCCTCTTGTTGCTTTCTAGTTTTATATCATTGTGTTCAGATAGCTGGTACGATTCTGATCTTCTTAAATTTGCTAAGACATCGTTTTTCATATAATCCTGGAGTATGTTCCATGTGCACTTGAGAACAAGTTGCTGGATGGAATGTTCTATATATGCCTGTTCAGTCCATTTGGTATAATGTATAGACCAGTGTATATACACTGGTCTTTATACATAAATCCTTGCTCATCCACTATATGGATGATCTATCCACTGCTGACAGTGGAGTATTGAAGTTCCCTACTATTATTGTATTGTCTGTTTCTCCCTTCATATCTGTTAGCATTTGCTTAATATATTTAGGTGCTCTGATGCTGGGTGTGTATCTATTTACAATTGTTACATCTTCTTGATATGTTGACCTTTGTATCATTATATTGAATATAATGACTTTGTGTCTTGATATTGTTCTTGTTAAAGTCTGTTTTGTCTGATATAAGTATGGCTTCCCCCACATTATTTGGCTTCTACTTGCATGGAATATAATATTCCATCTCTTTATTTTGAGTATATGTGTGTCTTAAAGCTGAAATGAGTGTCTTATATGCAGAATTTAATTGTACCTTATATATTTTTTATACATCCAGCCACTCTGTGGCTTTAATTTGTGAATTAAGTCCACTTATATTTAGAGTGAATTTTGATACATAAGGACTTATTACTGCCATATTATTAATTGCTTTCTGAATGTTTTATATCAGTGTTCCCCATCCTTTTTGGCACCAGGGACCAGTTTCATGGAAGATAATTTTTCCACGGAGTCGGAGGTGGGGATGGTTTCGGGATAATTCAAGTGCATTACATTTATAGTCCACTTCATTTCTATTATTATTACATTGTAATATATTATGAAATAATTATACAACTCACCATAATGCAGCATCAGTGGGAGCCCTGAGCTTGCTTTCACTTGCCACTCACTGATAAGGTTTTTGTTTTTTGTTTTTTTTTGTGGTACGCGGGCCTCTCACTGTTGTGGCCTCTCCCATTGCGGAGCACAGGCTCCGGATGCGCAGGCTCAGCGGCCGTGGCTCACGGGCCCAGCTGCGTCACAGCATGTGGGATCTTCCTGGACCGGGGCACGAACCCATATCCGTTGCATAAGCAGGTGGACTCTCAACCACTGCGCCACCAGGGAAGCCCGTGATAGGGTTTTGATATGAGTCTGCAAGCAATAGATTTGTTATGATCTCTGTGCAGTCAAACCTCTCTGCTAATGATAATCTGTATTTGCAGCCGCTCCCCAGCGCTAGCATCACCGCTTCACCTCCACCTCGGATCATCAGGCATTAGATTCTCATAAGAAGCATGCAGCCTAGATCCCTCACATGCCCAGTTCACAGTAGGGTTCGCGCTCCTATGGAATCTAATGCTGCTGATAATCTGAAAGGATGCAGAGCTCAGGTGGTAATGCAGGTGATGGGGGAGCTGCTGTAAATACAGATGAAACTTCTCTTGCTTGCCCACCACTCATCTCCTGCTGTGCGGCCCAGTTCCTAACAGGCCACGGACCAGTACCAGTCCATGGTCTGGGGGTTGGGGACCCCTGTTTTATATTTCCACTGTTTCTTTTTCCCCTCTGGTCCTGTCTACCTTTATAATGGGTGGTTTACCATGTTGGTATGCTCTGTTTCCTTTTTTAGTGTTTGTGATTCTACTAAAAATATTTGCTTTGGGGTTACCATGAGGTATACATAAAATAACTCATAGTTAAAACAGTCCATCTTATGTTGATAGAAACTTATCTTTGTAGGCCTGTAAATGTTCCATTTTTAATTCTCCTTTTATATTTTTAATGTCATGATACACTTCACTTTATTCTGCATATTTTTTAAAAAAGCTATTGTAGCTATAGACTTTTCTATTGCATTTTTCATTTCATCCCCACCATGTTTTTGGTTCCTTTTATTTTTTTACAGTTTTTGTCTATTTTTGTTTTCTTTATGTTTTTTCTGATTTCACTGAATTGTCTTTCAATCTTTCCTTGTAGCTCACTGAGGTTTCTTATAACAGTGTTTTTGAATTATTTATTAGGTAGATTGCAGATTTCAAAGTCTTTGGGATTAATAACTGGAATACTTTGTAATCCTTTAGTTGTGTTAGGTTACTTTGATTTAGAAAAAAAAATGTTCCTGGCGTTTTGTGCTTCTGTCTTCACTTTTGAAGTAGCAGCCACCTACTCCAGTGTTTGCTAATTGTCTTCAGGAGAAAAACACCTTCTGTTGGCCCTCTAGACTTAGAGTTTCAGAGGCTTTCTCAGACCTTCTATGGATAAAAGTGTTTCATACTTTTTATTTCATCTTTTGGCAGAATTCTTGAGCTTATATGGTCTATTTTTATCTAGCAACACAATAGGCTGGGGGCTGACAGAGCCCCTTTTCTTCTCCTGAGGGTGGTGCTAATGCAGAAATTTATGGTCTGTCTCTGGCCTGCAGATGTGAGCCAGCTTCCTTTGTGTGTTCTCAAGCTGTCAGCCAAAGCCTTCCCTCACTACCTTGGTTGTGAGCACCCATGGTAAACTAGCCACAGTGTGGATATTTGTATAATGTGTTCAGAGCACTGAGGGTGCCCACTGGCCAGTTGGGAGGATCCACGGGTGAGGCATCCCTATTCGCTCATGGATGGGCTTCTTGATAGAGTCTGTGATATAGCAGGTAGAATCTGCACCACATCAATTTCTTCTAAGAATCCTATCTGCTACCTCTTCCCACCCCGGTCATTCATCTTATAATTCAGCACTCTGAATGGGGCAAGAAATCAATGGGCTTTTTTGGCAACATCCCACATAGTTGGAGAAGCTACATGTTAATTCACATGCTCTCACTTGCCCCTGCAGGGGAAATCATGGGCCAGGAAGAGCCCTCTTGGCCTTTAGTTGTTCAATCTTGGGGGAGGCTTGATGTTCGTGAAACCATTCCTTTTACTTTGTTCAATTCATGCAAACTCATACATATTTTTTTTTCCCCCAACATTATGCCAGTACTTCTCTACAAGAAACCTGAATATCCACAAAAGCTCTTTCGTTCTTAAGTGATAGATTAAAACAAGATTTTCCAGGTACCCCCAGGCTGTAGCCAAGAGGGTATGGAGCCAGTTAACAGATGACTGCAATGTCCAGAGCTGGGATTGAGGTCTCTATGCCTAATACCCTGTGCACAGGTGGGTGAGACTCCTCCTATTCCCCTTGACATATTTTGCTGGATCCCACAGCTCCCACAAAGACACTTGGGTCTGTGAATGAAGCCAAGTTATTAAAGGGAGGTATGATGAAACACATCTTATTCAATCATAATGCTGATGTAACTCCTCACAGAAGTATATTCAAGTCAAAGTGAGTAATTCAACCTGAGCTGCTTTTACTTTGCTTTTATCTTTCTTCACTCGTCTTGAAACCTCAACCATGAGGCCACCTGGAGTCTCCCATTCTTCATTTATTAAGGGAAGAAGTCCTAGAGAGAGAGAGAAATTCCATGTGATAGATTCTCACATGGAAAAATGATTAGGTCCTTTGTCCCTCCTAATAGAACCCCACTCTCTATAAAACCACCCACACTTCCTTGACCCAGGTCAGAGTTTCTTCCCATGCTGTAAAAAGACAAGAAGAAATCAGGGAGCTGTTACCCTTTTTCTTCACCTCCAGGAGTTCTCTTTGCTTTACATCATTATTACTTAGAAAACATTTAAAAATTCCCATGTCCAGAACTTAAAAGGATTCAGTAAATTAGTATTTCTGGGCATCATTGCTTTTAAAAGATCATCAGCTTATTCAAAATGCTATCAAATTGAGAATAAGTACGCCTGCCCTACTTAGTTAAAAAAAAAAAAAAAAAAGCACGTGTGAGTCACATGAAAATACTGTTAAAATGCACTTTCTGACCAGGAGGCCTGAGTTATGCCTAAAAGACTGAAATCTGAACACAATTTAGGGACAGAGACTACACTGAGACTATTAAGGTCCTGTTTTACACTCAAGTAAATAACTTGGTGACAAGAAAAAAACCTTATTAGAGATGATTGGAAGTGAGGATATTTGTACAATATAACACATTGGGAGGATCTCATTATCATGAAGAAACTAACCAAATATCATTTCAAGTAATTTTTAATAAACAAAACATGTAAAATGAAGACAATATCCTCCATTTTGGTTATCAGTACAACTTTCTCTCAGAGACAAAAATTCTAGTTTCAGTAAAGGCTCAGCTTAAAAAAAGTACAGACCAGGCTTCCCTGATGGAACAGTGGTTGGGAGTCCGCCTGCTCATGCAGGGGACACAGGTTCGTGCCCCGGTCCAGGAAGATCCCACATGCCGTGGAGCAGCTGGGCCCGTGAGCCATGGCCACTGAGCTGCGCGTCCGGAGCCTGTGCTCCGCAATGGGAGAGGCCACAACAGTGAGAGGCCCGCGTACGGCAAAAAAAAAAAAAAACTGAATCAAGAAGAAACAGACAATTTGAACAGACCTATCAATAGAAGTGAAATAGAATCTGTAAACTAAAAAATTCCCTACCAACCAAAGTCCAGGACCAGATGGCTTCACAGGCAAATTCTACCAAACATACAAAAAATAACTTATACCAATTGTTGTCAGCCTCTTCCAAAAGGTTGAACAGGAAGGAATACTCCCAAAGACATTCTATGAAGCCACCATCACCCTGATCCCAAAACCAGACAAAGATGCTACCAAAAAAAAAATTATTGGCCAATATCTCTGATGAATATAGATGTAAAAACTATCAAAAAATATTAGCAAACTGAATCAAATAACACATAAAAAGTCACATACCATGACCACATTGGATTTATCTAAGGGTTAAAAGGACGATTCAACATACACAAATCAATGTGATACACCATATCAACAACAAAAAAAGACAAGATCCACATGATCATCTAAAGAGATGCAGAAAAAGCATTTCCTAAAATTCAACATCCATTCATGATAAAAACTCTTGCAAAAGTGGGCATAAAGGGAACATATCCGAACATAATAAAAGCTATTTAGGACAAACCCACAGCCAATATACTACTCAATAGTAAAAAGCAGAAAGCCTTACCACTAAAATCTGGAACATGACAAGGCTGCCCAGTCTCACCACTTCTGTTCAACATAGTCCCGGTGACAGCAATAAGACAAGAAAAAGAAAAGGTATCCAGATTGGAAGAGAAGAGGTAAAATTTTCATTATATGCAGATGACATAGTACTATATACAGAAAACTCTAAAGACTCCACAAAAAAACTACCAGAACTGATAAACAGATTCAGGAAGGTAGTAGGATACAAGATTAACATACAGAAATTGGTTTCATTTGTTTATATTTACAATGAAATATCAAAAAAGGAATGTAAAGAAACAATTCCTTTTAAAATCACATCAAAAAATAAAATACTTAGGAGTAAACCTCACCAAGTAGGTGAAAGACTTATATGCTGAGAACTACAAAATATTAATAAAGGAAATTGAAGATGATTCAAAGAAAGGGATATTCCATGCTCTTGGATTGGAAGAATTAATATTGTTAAAATGGTCATAATACCCAAAGCAACCTGCAGATATAATGTGATTCCCATCAAATTATCCGTGACATTTTTTACAGAACAAGAACAAATAATCCTAAAATTTATACAGAACCATAAAAGACCGAGAGTTGACAAAGCAACCTGAGGAAAAAGAACAAAGCAGGAACCATAAACCCTTCCAGACTTCAGATACTACTACAAAGCTACAGGAATGAAAGCAATGTGATATAGGAGCGGAGTCAAGATGGCAGGGTAGGAGGACACAGAGTTCATGTCTCACAACAATTAGGGCACCTACCAAGCACTGGTGGGGAACCACAGACACCTAATGGGATGGGACGAACCCCAGAGTGACCAGGTAGGACATGTGGGGGAGGGAGGGGAAAGGAGAAGTGGAGGCAGGATGGGACCAGCACTCATGAAGGGAAGCTGGGGGAGGGGAGGGGTACCCATACCTGGAGGGGCCCACCCTCAGTGAGGGGAGCAGGGAGGGGGACAGGGAGAGACCCTCAGGAGATCAGAGGAATGAAAGGGAAAGCAGCTAGCATGTTCCCCACCCACTTGGGCCCTGGGGAGCCTGCTGAGGTCCTGGGCCTTATCCTCTGCCTTCCTAGGTCCCCTCTGGTCACGTGGGTTCTGAGGGCATGGGGGGGGACACCAGTGCCCCTGAGGGGTATCTGGGGGAGGGGAGGGGTGGAGATTTCCCAGGAGACCCCAAGGGGGGCAACAGCCAATGAAAAGAAGTGACAGAATCCTGCAACTCTGTGAGGGTGAGTACCTCCTGGTTCCTACACTCTTTCCCTCCTGGGTAACCCTGATTGGTCTCCCCATCCCCTTTTGTGTGAGGAAATTGTTCCCATTCCCTTCTGACCAATGGGGTCATTTAGTGGAGCTTTCAGATGCCATTTTCCTCCATTTCTTTCATTCTGCATTCTTCCTTGCCTCTCTGGGAAGAATAGAGTATGTTGGCAGGGGAAATGAAAGTCATTTTAGTCATACCATGCCATAAGCTGAATTCTTGAAGTTAGAACCAGTTTTCAATTGCGAGGCATCCTCCAAAATTGGCCATCAAAACTCATTTCACCATCACAGGGCCTGCAAGACACTAAGCAGTGTACAGTTCCAAGAAGAGTGTATAAACATCTTGTCTCCATTAGTTAAACAACAGACACTGATTACAACCTTCCTCTTTTTCGAGCTGATGTTTAAAATGTATCAACAGGATATGGCTGTTTGGTTTTTGGTGACCACCCCAGAGGTTGAGTAACTCATTACATTTAAGTTGACTCCTCGTCTGTCTCTTACTGTGAAATTTAATATAGGAGATGTTGTTTGGTTAATTTTAATTTTTACGGGACGATGAGGAAATTGTAACATTTTTGTCTTTCTCTTTTTGGTGCTCTCCTACAGCCTCCACAACGGCCAATGCTCCTCCAGGCATCCAAGAGGAAGTCTGTCCTGGAAATGGATCACCCAATTAGCTCACCGATTGGGAACGATGACCTGAAATCCACCTGGCCCTCAGGGTGTCCCATCAAGAGAAGTTTGGTCCAGGACTCCATAAGCAGCATCCAGGCACCAGGCAAGAGATCTGCCCAGATCTCCACCCTGGCTTGTCTGAACCCACCAAAGAAACCCAGACTGAGTCCCATACAATTTCCCCAGAAGAGCACCCTGAGACCAGATCCGGGGGTTTTCCAGAATCTGCAGCCTCCACCTAGTACCACCAGACCTGGGCCAACCGTGGCACCCCAAGTGACCAGGAAGACACCTGCCTAGGGGCAAAGCATTAACCTCCAGCCTCCACACAACACATCTTACCTGAATACTCTCCAGGCCTACACCAGAGTCCAGCCTCCACCCATCAAACATGTTCCAGGCCAGTCTCTCAGGATGCTCTTCAGGAGAGTAGGCAAAGCCTGGTGGAGCTGCACATACATGACATCTCCCTCTTTGTCTCCTGCTGAGAAGCTAACCCCTCCTGCTCAGAGCCCACCCATGGGCAAGAAGTCTGAGGAGCACTGTGCCCCAGGCCCCTGGATTGTCCTCTATGATGACCTTCAGAATTCTTCTTCCTCTGAAGAGAATGTGTGAGAGGGAGACACCAATGACCACTAAAACATGTCCTTCAGCCCCAGGTACCCTGAAGGTGACTGTGGAACAGAGGAGGGGAAGTCCCAAGGAGTGGCCTGTCCCTGGTGAATCAGTGATTCTTCACCTCTGGGGGGTGGGTGGGTGAAACAATAGTGGAAACCCAGGTTTTGCTTAGGGACACACATGTGGAAAGCACTGCATTTTCTCCTGATGGAATTAGAGTCAACATGGAAATGGTGTTTATCAAACTGGAATGTCAGTTCTTTTGCAAACTCAATCCTTTGTAGACAACTTTGAGACAATTCCACGAGAAAGTTTTAACTTTGGTGTAAATAGAAAGCTGTGGTGAGAATCTGGAATTGGTGGCAAATGTCTGAAAGTACTGCAGCTGACTAAAGGGCCTAACTCTGCTTACAGAATGACAGCAGGGCCCTGAGTTAAGATGAGATTTGTGGATTCTGTGGACTTCTTTCCATGTAAATCATACAGGGGACTGCTCCTGTGGCTTTGTTTATTATTATTATTTTCTTAGTAAACATTATTCTAAAGCTTTGTTTAAAATTTTTCTTTCAATACCAATAAAATTCTAGGCAAAACAAGTCATGACATACATGGTTTTTATTTTTCAGCCTTGAAGATCCCCTTGACATTTTTCATCCTCAAAGCTTATGGAACTGGGAGGACAGAGGAGCTTGGAAGGACTGAGGCTATTCAGAAATATAGACTCTCAGGCACCCCTGCCCTCAAGACCACTCACTGGTCAGTATATGCACATACACGGTGTGCCCTTGTCAGTGTCAGGCATGGAGAATGTGATAAGCGCTGTAAGCTGACCTGTTCTCACTGAGGCCCACACGCCACGCTGAGGGTGAATTTTAATAGCTACATATGCCTCAATCTTACTTCAAAGGATCCCATGTTTTGGTTGTCTGTTTTGAGGCCCGGGTATTGGGATTTCAGCTGCTCTCCAGATGAGTGGATTAGGCGGCAATGTTTGAGAACCACTGGAGGTGGTGTGCCAGGATATCCCCAGAGTCCCATGTCATCTCCTTTTTCTAACATAGAACACAGTTTGACTAGGACCAAGGAAAACTATGTAGCTTTATAGAGGGAACTTCCTGGGAGGAGCCAATGGCTGCTCCCTCCATCCTAGAGAACACCTGTTTGGGGAGTACATCTTCCTTCTGCAGAACTCTGTACCTCCAGGACAGAAAAGCCACTGTGGTTGGAGGAAACCAAAAGGTCTTTTAAATATGTAGGAAATAGGCTCCCCTTTGGGCTACACCCAGAGCCTGCTACAACTGTGGATATGAACCTGTTGCCAGTGACCTATGTCACAGTTTATGCCTTTTCCTCCCTTGTCTTCTGACCAAATCTGGCCTTTCATTGAATGATGGACTCTGACAAAACCCAAATAGCGGAGAGAGGCAGGAAGATGGCGGAAGAGTAAAACGTGGAGATCTCCTTCCTCCCCACAGATACACCAGAAATGTATCTACATGTGGAAAAACTCCTGCAGAAAACCTACTGAATGCTGGCAGAAGACCTCAGACCTCCCAAAAGGCAAGAAACTCCCCACATCCCTGAGTAATGCAAAAGAAAAAATAAACAGAGACATAAGAATAGGGACGGGATCTGCACCAGTGGGAGGGAGCTGTGAAGGAGGAAACGTTTCCACAGACTAGGAAGCCCCTTCACGGGCGGAAACTGCGGGTGGCGGAGGGGGGAAGCTTCGGCGCCGCGGAGCAGAGCACAGCAACGGGTGCAGAGGGCAAAGCGGAGGGATTCCCGCACAGAGGATCGGTGCCAACCGGCACTCACTGGGCTGAGAGGCTTGTCTGCTTACCCACCGGGGCGGGCAGGGCTGGCAGGGCTGGGAGCTGAGGCTCAGGCTTTGGTCAGAGCACAGGGAGAGGACTGGGGTTGGTGGCGTGAACACAGCCTACACGGGGTTAGTGCACCATGGCTAGCCGGCAGGGAGTACGGGGAAAAGTCTGGACCTGCCGAAGAGGCAAGAGACTTTTTCTTCCCTCTTTGTTTCCAGGTGCGTGAGGAGAGGGGATTAAGAGCGCTGTTTAAAGGAGTTCCAGAGATAGGCGTGACCCCACGACTAGCAGTGCGGACCCCAGAGACGGGCATGAGACACTAAGGCTGCTGCTGCCGCCACCAAGAAGCCTGTGTGCGAGCACAAGTCACTATCCACACCTCCTTTCCAGGGAGGCTTTGCAGCCCGCCATTGCCAGGGTCCCGGGATCCAGGGACAACTTCACCTGGAGAACGCACGGCGCACCTCAGGCTGGTGCAACGTCCCGCTGACCTCTGCCGCTGCAGGCTCGTCCCACATCCGCACCCCTCCCTCCCCCCGGCCTGAGTGAGCCAGAGCCCCCGAGTCAGCTGCTCCTTTAACCCCATCCTGTGTGAGCAAAGAACAGACGCCCTCCAGCGACCTACACAAAGAGGCAGGGCCAAATCCAAAGCTGAGCCCCGGGAGCTGTGCGAACAAAGAGAAAGGGAAATCCCTCCCAGCAGCTTCAGGAGCAGCGGATTAAAGCTCCACAATCAACTTGATATACCCTGCATCTGTGGAATACCTGAATAGACAGCGAATCATCCCAAATTGAGGAGGTGGACTTTGAGAGCAAGATTTATGATTTTATCTCCTTTTCCTTTTTGTGAGTGTGTATGTGTATGCTTCTGTATGAGATTTTGTCTGTATAGCTTTGCTCCCACCATTTGTCCTAGGGTTCTATCTGTCCGTTTTTTTTTTGTTTCTTAATAATTACTTTTTATTTTAATAACTTTATTTTATTTTACTTTATCTTCTTTCTTTTTTCCTTCCTTCCCTCCTTCCTTCCTTCCTCCCTCCCTCCATCCCTCCTTTCTTTCTTTCTTTCTACTAATTCTTTCTTTCTACTTTTTCTCCCTTTTATTCTGAGCCATGTGGATGAAAGGCTCTTGGTGCTGCAGCCAGGAGTCAGTGCTGTGCCTCTGAGGTGGGAGAGGCAACTTCAGGACACTGCTCCACAAGAGACCTCCCAGCTCCACGTAATATCAAACAGCGAAAATCTCCCAGAGATCTTCATCTCAACACCAGCAGCCAGCTTCACTCAATGACCAGCAAGCTACAGGGCTGGATACCCTATGCCAAACAACTAGCAAGACAGGAACACAACCCCACCCATTAGCAGAGAGGCTGCCTAAAATCATAATAAGTCCACAGAAACCCCAAAACACACCACCAGACATGGACCTGCCCACCAGAAAGACAAGATCCAGCCCCATCCACCAGAACACAGGCACTAGTCCCCTCCACCAGGAAGCCTACACAACCCACTGAACCAACTTTAGCCACTGGGGACAGACACCAAAAACAATGGGAACTACGAACCTGCAGCCTGCAAAAAGGAGACCCCAAACACAGTAAGATAAGCAAAATGAGAAGACAGAAAAACACACAGCAGATGAAGGAGCAAGATAAAAACCCACCAGACCTAACAAATGAAGAGGAAATAGGCAGTCTCCCTGAAAAAGAATTCAGAATAATGATAGTAAAGATGATCCAAAATCTTGGAGATAGAATAGAGAAAATGCAAGAAACGTTTAACAAGGACCTAGAAGAATTAAAGATGAAACAAGCAACGATGAACAACACAATAAATGAAATTAAAAATACTCTAGATGGGATCAATAGCAGAATAAGTGAGGCAGAAGAACGGATAAGTGACCTGGAAGATAAAATAGTGGAAATAACTACTGCAGAGCAGAATAAAGAAAAAAGAATGAAAAGAACTGAGGACAGTCTCAGAGACCTCTGGGACAACATTAAACGCACTAACATTCGAATCATAGGGGTTCCAGAAGATGAAGAGAAAAAGAAAGGGACTGAGAAAATATTTGAAGAGATTATAGTTGAAAACTTCCCTAATATGGGAAAGGAAATAGTTAATCAAGTCCAGAAAGCACAGAGAGTTCCATACAGGATAAATCCAAGGAGAAATATGCCAAGACACA